CGACCAACGAATCTCTTCTTCATGCACTTTCATACGAAATAATGTTCCCCCTAATAATAACATTCAGTTTTTAGGTGAGTCTACGCATGTTTTTCAAATGAACTTTACGACTCGTTTCAACATGCTTTATTCAATCCTGTCATTTTCCTCCATGCGCCCATTGCCTCGCAATCAAGGTACTCGATGACTCTGGCCCTTTGTGGTGCCTTCGCAATGCCAACGGTCTCACCGGCCACGTCGACAGTCTCTACCTCGCGATGCAGGAGCCTGTCCTTTTTGCGCACTCGGAGCAGATGCATTCGGCCGTCGTGTCCACGCCGCAAAAGACTCGTGCTCCGACCTCCAGTTCGGCTCTTCTGCCGGCCGATTCACGCGCATCGAATCGCCCGAAAATCGTCAGAATGCCATCTTCGCCATGTCGGTCGGCCTGTTGCCTCTCCTCCTCCTCCTCCTCCTCCGTCTCGTCCTGCCCCTCTCCCAGACCGCACAGCAACCATGCCATCAAAACCGGCTCCAGCTGCAGCAGCCTCTCGTCCACCCATCTTCCGTCTACACGCCGCACCGTCTTGCTGCATCAACATCGTCGCACCGACACTCCAGACCCGCCCGGCCGCCATACCGCAGCTGCTCGACCAGCCTCCAGCCGCCGCCACTCCTCCTGCAACGCCAAACTACGCCCTCGTCGCCACCGAGGCCGCCATCATCGCCATGCGACCGGCGATCACGACGTCTGCCGCCGCGACAGGCCGGAGCGCCAAAGTGACGGATACTCCAGCGAGACCAGTCGCTCCGGAGAGCCGTTGCGGTCGGGGCGGGCTCGAACTCGTCGCCAGTTTCGTCACACCCTCCTGCCCGATCTCGGCCCAACGGCCTACACTTCGGGCTACCCGGCCGCTCACATGCCGCCCTGCATGTTCTACTATCTGCCCAGTTTGGCGCAGACCCCGATGCTACTGCCGTCGCAGACGAGCGGCCAGTTCGCTCCGCTGCTGACTCCTCAGACCGCCGGCCTGTCGCCCTCCTTCAACGCGTTCGGCGCGACCATGCTTCCGCTACAGCCGATGGCCGGCGCCTATCCGCTGCCGTCGGAATTGTGGGAAATGCGGAACGCCTCCATTCCTTGCGCATTCCCCCTCGGCAACCCAGCCTCGCCGAGCTCCGTCGCCTCGGTGCCCGAAAAGTCGGCCCTTTTCGCCACCTCGACGCCACAGACACCGGCTTCCGCAGTCTTCTCCACCTGCCCCGGGGCCGTGCAGGACGTCTTCAGGCTGCCGCAGCAACAACCTGTCGTCAAGGGCCACGGGGACCGCCGAAGTGTGTCCCAGTTAAGAGGTGAGCCGGCACCGAGAGCTGTGGCATGCGGGCCTGTTCGCGTAGCCACGCTGTCGCGTGATGCTGCCGCTTTCAAGCCTGCCAATGGATGGAATGGCCAACTCTTTACTGCGCCAATTCATTCCATGACACTCGGCTACGACGCCCATGAGAACCGCAAGGTCTGGCCCACACATGCTATGTCGTGACCGACGCGGAGTCCAGTCTGGTGTCAGCCGTCTACAGTCCTTTTCTTTTCGGACCAATGCCTTCAGTCGATTCTTTCCAACTATTCATAAAAACACACAATTAGACCTATCCACACACCGTGAAACCCACTTTTCAACTTTGTGTGTTGGCCTATTTCGATTGTTAGCCATACGCCTTGGTCTGCATTCTCTTGGTTTCTTCTGTAAAGCAAGCTGTGGTCTTATTCACCATTAATTTCTGTCTCTTTAACTGCAGACATGCATATATATATATATATATTTTTATTTATTTATTTATATAATTGAATAATTCTGGAACGATGTTGGTTGCCAATATGACCATTTGATTTGCTGACCAAAGAATCCTTACATTTATATGGAGCTTCGAGTGTGTCACACATTTTTACGGAACGATGGATTCTTGTCTGCGTTTGTCTTTGCGCAATGATCAGACACTGTATAGCAGCATGGATGTAATATTATTGTGGTTACCAATACTGACGTAGAATGCTTAAAAGGTGGGTATTTACATTTCTGCACGTGTCCCAACCGGCAGGCTACTATTTTTGTCAGAATAGTAGCGAGTGTATTTAGTTGAATTACAAGGTTACTGCCTAAATTCACGACCTATGTCCTGTTTGCATGGGTTCAACACGCATATTTGGCAATCCTTCAGAAGCAATTAATTATTTTTTTATCCTGACATTATTAATTGAAACTGCTACACAGCCTTAGGCAGATCAAATTTACACAGTTATCTAAACGGCATCCTTTCGACTCTTTTCGATTTTTGATTAAGGAAATAATTATTTAGTGCATTTAGAAAAAATACTTTATTGCTCCAAATATAGACGCTTGAGGGTTTTTGGAAACGAATAAATTCATTTATGAGACGTCATCTATACTTCAGCTATAATGTATTATTTGTAAAAGAGTTTCATCTTTGGGATTGAAAAGCTCGATTTTTCAGTTCCTCTTTAGGAGAGGAGGATTCGCACTCGCCCTGAAGCTACGTCACCCTGATCCAAATTGGCAGCCTACGCTAAATCGATATTACTTGTACCTGTTTATTGCTTTAGCTTATGGAAACATCTTTAATATTTACAATTTCTAAGTAAACTTGCCGATTATCGATCAATAACAAAACTAAGAGCATCATAGCACTCTGCATAAATCACTACCTTAGAGGCTGAAACGCTCCAATTCACAGTCATATTGCCGAAAAGATGCTTAAATATTTGGTGAAAAAGTGAGTATACTCATCTGCTTTTCAAGCCTAAAAAACATTTTCAATTTAATTAAAGATAAAGTATATCGCTTGTAGTACAATCTTGGGGAAGGTAATAGTTTCGATTTTCCGGGGTTCTTCAACCCGTTAACCAAATGGCATTATAGGTCTGACTTATGGTGGTGTGCTGAAATGTATCTTTGCACGAAGCCCTCCTTTTCATGTTGGCTAAAACACGAGAAATATCTTAAAGCAAAAGAATTATACATTTATACTTTATCTAAATGTTTCTCTCTGCTTACGAGCCTATGGAAAAGACCACTGCAAATGTGATATATTGTTTGACTGCAATATTCGATATAGAATTGTAGATGATCATTAATGATGGGGGTATGGCGGCTAAACCACTTGCTTTATAAGCTGCCCTAACAACTAAAGCTGGCATCAACTCAATATAGATACTATACTGATCAATCTGAAATGCCCTATTTTGTCCTATTCCGCCTGCTTATGCTGTGTGTCTAAATGGCCATATTTCTGATCGGAGTTAGAGTTTTGCAAATACTTACTCTTCAGCAGCAACAGACAAATGAGTTGAGGCGAACCTCAGACGTCAAAAGGCCTCCTTAGACTGAATGTATATCCTGCCGGTTAGGAGATGGATACAGCTTTAATCGCTGCTGATTCGGTGATTGTATCCTACGGGTATCTTGAATTATCAAGCTTTCGGATACCTGTTTTTTTATAAGGACTGTCTTAGTTTCGGCATTTTCTTTCTACAAGGTTTCAACGTATTTGTAATACGCAAATTTATTTCAGCCTCAATAGCACATCTGATTGTATACTAACCAATGCTTACCTATTGTGAGCTGAAGAGCTTTTTCATTCTTCAAATTTGCTCAAAATTTGCTAAATATCATACTATTATCATAAAAAGCAACAGAAGTTGGACTAATTATTCTCACTTTTTTATTGCCTTACATTAGATTGTATCTTCTGTGACAAATAACAGTAGAATCATGTTAATTTTCAATCATTATGGTATCCAAAAGGCTTCCTCGGCTACCAGGACTTGGTTTTTTAACTTCTTCTTTGCAAATTGAAGCTCATAAGTGGAATTTATTTGCTCATATGGCCCATTTTCCCTTTGTAGTCTAAATACGGAACAGTACAGCTTATTATGCGATCAATTGTAATTTTCAACTTGTAATTTCATATCTTTTCTTGGACCGATATACCTCTCAGGTTTTATTATATTTAATCACTAGTGAACCGCCGTTTTTCAACCTGTTTTTATCATTTAAATAATCTGAAGACCAAAGGCATGCTGCTTGGCAGACCTATTCGCTCAAGGCGATGGGCACTGCCTTTTATCAAACTCACTTTCTCTTCATATTTTCTACCTATGTCTTTCTCCTTTGTTTATACGATGATGGAGGGTACTTTTGAAATTAATATATCATGCATTCCATCTCTTTGAGCCCCTACAATACCTGACCAATACACATGTTAACGTGTTTGGTCTTAAGGATCTAACCAAGGTCCACATTGCTAAGATGATGGGTCTTACAAGCCTATGAACTATTGCCAGCAGCAATAATTACCCCCATTAATCACGGCGTTCTGACTCTTCACAGCCTTTTCCCATTTAGAGTCATCTAGATTTTTCCCTAGTAGCCACTGTTCACTTTCTTTCGAGCAAATATTTAAGACCCCTTTTTCGGTCGTTCTAATTATTTGCTGATTTGTCTAATTTCTTCCTTTAACATGCGTTGGAGCGATTTTTCTCTAATTTTTACTTCGGCTCCTGCTCTCCTAATTGGCCTGCCAAATGTTGGTACATCTACAATTAAATATTGAGAAAAGTTGGATGATCAGAAAACTTATTGTATTATTTGTATTTCGATTAAGAGCTAGATAGCTTATTTATTGTGGATAGAGGATTTCAGGCCAATTTAATTTTACCTTATTATCCCAATCGTTGGGCAGTTTTAAATATTTACAACAAATCATATTCCTTTAGAACTGGAAACTAGAGTGAATTGGTCGAGAATTCAAAGGTCAGAGCAAATCGGGCGAAAAATACCCTATTTGTTGGGCTTTTCGAAACTTCCCATTCGAAAAGTAACAGGAACTTGGTTTACTGGAATTACTTTAGAGGCTATGTCCTCCTATCTTGTTCCATGTAATTTTCTCTAAAGAAGACGTTGCCCAACACTTTCACATATAAATGTAACCATCAGATCTAAAGGATACTCATCACTCGTATACACCAATGCGATGCGAAATAGGAAAGGCAAAAACAATATTAACTAATTTTTATTTTATCTATAACACTTTGACAGTGCAATATGACTGATCTTACACCATAGCTAATGATCTCTATCTCATGATAAACTGTGTATAAATAAGAAATATTAGTAAAATGACTATCGAGTGCGGTACTCAGAATCCACCAAAGCATTCTATAGGGCTTTATAAGATTCTTCTGGGGCAGTTTAAGCTTATTAAAATAATTTTCGCGGAATTCTATTTATTTTTATTCTTCCGCCTATACTGATCCATACTTGCTCATTTGCTCATTATTTAAGCCTCATTTTTTTCATTTATATTTACCCCCAATCTTAAAGTGTGGAACTCCTCGTTTGAAGCTGAAGAGAGGGCTCTACGAAAGAGTGAGTCATAAACGCGTACTTTAAATTGTATGATTTATCCGAGGGTCAAAATTTTCTCCTTTTTAGACGTGTTTTCCTAGGGACCGTTTTCATATTCCTATTATTTTGTCATGCAAACCTGTAAAATAGACTAGTTTGAATTTGACCCCAGACTATTCTTTTTACTGGTTAAATTATCCCTAAAACAAATCTTTGTATAGGCCGATAAGATTTAGATTATTCCAAATTTATTTGGTTCTTCGCAAAAATCAAAATCTAGATCGGAGCGTCAGGCAGACCTTATGGAACATACCTAGTTCCGGGTACTCTGCCATATAATTCGTGATTTACAGCATCAGAGCATTTTTCTGTTACATTACCAAACGTTTTGCCGGCAACGTAGTCAGCAACTTCAGTGAAGGGCGCCATCATTAGGACAGAGTTGCAACTTATCAAAGGTGTAAGTGAAGGCAATGCCTTTGACCGATTTTCTGTTCGACCGTTGTGGCATTACACCTCGCGCCTATTTTTTGTCATACCTTCTAGTAATGCATAACTAAGTTAAAAATCATTGTTTGGTTGTCTGAATTTTGGCTGTCTAGGAGCCTTCAATTCCAGTCCTCGATTAAACCATATTCGAGCATTTAGAGCAGATGATGCCCATGTCCATGCACATGCACATGCCAGGGCCAGGGACTCCGCCTCTCCCTAGGCTTCAAACACATCACTCGATTATCCTCTACCTCATCCACTACCACATTATGTTTCATTCCCTGGGACACAGCTTCTCTTATTTACTTTGAATCGCGAAAAGCAGACT